TATTTATATTGATACACACACACATATATATATACAATATATATACATTACATATATATATATATATATATATATATATATATTTATATACACATATTTATATTATATACACACATTATATAAAATTATATACACATATATACATATTTACATATATTCACATATACATATAACATATAATATATTTTTAAATTTTTTTTGTTTACTTTTTTGATATTTTATATATAAGATTTTATATATTTTATAGATTTACTGTATATACAAAAAAAAGGTGTGTGTAGTGAATGTATGTACAACGCGCGCGTGTGTATATTGTGTGTGTGTGTGTGAATATATATGTTTGTGTAATAATAATATATTAAATATATATATAATATAAAAAAAATACATACAACCCACACAAACACACACACATTTAATAATATAACATAACATACATACACCCATATATTATATAATATATATTTATTTACACACACATATATATTTATTTTTTAATCTTTGTTTAACTTGATATTTATATATAAGATATATAATTTTATAGATACTGTTTTATATACAAGAATACAAGGTGTGTTGTAGGTGTGTGTGTGTGTATACACACATACATTATATATATATATAATTATATATAATATATATATATATATATATATACACATACACACACTAACATATACACACACACACACAATTTTTTATATATATATTATATACACACACACACACACACATATATACACACACACACATTATATACACACACACATTATATACACACACACACATATACACTTTTTTGTGTTGTGTGTGTTTACAGTTCAGTACAGAAGGAATAATGAGGGCCCTGCTTGTGGAGCTTACAATATATTTATAATGGGTTATAGCTCACCTTCATTATAATTTCACCTTCATAAATATATATATATATATATATATATATATATATATATATTTTTTTTTTTTTTTTTTTTTTTTCATGAATGGATTAATTAAAAATGATAATAATATATAAACATTATATAAAATATATATATATATATATATATATATATTTATATATATATATATATATATATATATATAGATAGAGCACAGGAAGTTTTATAGTGCATAATTTATACAGCACTTTAGATACACTGTTCATTCCCATCAATTCCTGTCCTCAAGGAACTTAGTCTAGGATCCCTATCTCACATGCATACATACTAGGGCTAATTTAGACAGGAGTCAAATAACCTGCTAGCATGTCTTTGGGTGTGGGAGGAAACCCGAATACCTGGAGGAAACCCATGGAAGCACAGTGAGAACATGCAAACTATGCAAATAGTTTCCTGGTCAGGATTCAAAGCAAGCACCCCAAGTACTATTTGAATGCTTTCAGAAGTGCCTCCTGGGTTCAGACTCTGCAAGGCCGATTTTTTTTTTTCCTGGTTCAGACTTGTTCATTTATTTATTTATATCCAGGAACAGAACTGGCCACACACAGGAACCAAGATTCAAATCTGTGTATGTGATGATTGAAGCATGAGAGGCCTCAATACATTCTTTTTATAGTTCAGTTCATTGAAGAAAAAAAAAATTATATATATATATATATATATATATATATATTTATATTTATTTATTTATTTTTTTTTTTTTTTTTTTCTTTATGTGGTCATCTGAAATACCAACAATGTTTAGTGGAGGTGTTTAAAACTGTCAGCGGAAAGTCCATGGGATGTGTGTGGATTGACATAAAGACATTTAGGTTTAGTCACCTTGATTCCTGGATGTAAAGAATAGCAGCTCAGCTCGAAGCGAATCTGATCATTGCCCTGTAATAGAGAGAGGAGAGGAGGAGAGCGGTGAGCAGATGGCAGACACAGATCACTGTACAACATTCGGGGCACACAATACTCTACACACGTGTGCTATCACACAACCCAACCAGATCTGATCTGTAGGCTGGGAAGATTTAGCAGTCCTAGCAGGTTTTTTTTTGTACAATGAGACTCCTCTGGTAGGGCTTCCAATTGACACCATGACAAGAAAGAAGGGGACTGATAAGGACATACACCAATAGAGACCTTAAAGCTGAACTCTGGGAGAATGAAATATTGTTTAAATCCATTCATCATGTGTATTCTTCCCTGAATCTTAGTTACTTTGTGTTTTTTTTCCAGGTCTGTGCAGTAATCCAGTGTGAAACGTTTCTTCCTTTAATATAGACCGGTCACTGCTGCTCTCTCTCCTTGTGCAGGGTGACTGGTCTCGTCTCCGCCCCCTCCCATAGTTTTCTGTAGGCAGCTTGTAGGGGGTGGGGCCTGCTGAGTCCATCCCACAGCTCTGCTCTTTACCCAGGCTTTACAAGGTAATATCTTAGTTTGCAAAGGAATCCACAGCTTACAAAGTGGTTTTATATCCCTTGTGGCTTTATTTCAATGCAAGTGTTTGTGCCTGGAGTTGACTTTAAGAGACCAATTAAATTCATGCATGTCATGTTACACATTAATGTGTGTCGTGTTAATGCAGCCCATTGATTTCAATGCACAAGAGTGTCCTGAAAATTGGATGTGCCACAAAATGTGTAATGCGATGCATTGCCTTAGGCTTTGGGGGTGCTAATCAAAATGAACAGCAATACAAACAATGCATTTACTCTAAGTTTTGGTGGGGGGGGGGGGGGGGGGGGGTAAAAACAGGCAAACGTGTTTTTAGTGCCCCCTTTAAGCTGCAAAGACAGCTGGACAGAGTTTCATATTTGCTATGGCCACAATGCTTTGCTTCGCAGCCCTGTCCATCGAACGCATCCCATTCATGTGATTTGGGGTTGCACCGCAACCTCCCTTTCAACCAGGGGCGGACTGACCATTTGGAAACCCGGGTACTGCCCGAGGGCCCGGGGTCAGTAGGGGGCCCATGATATGCCCCTGGTACCTTTTTCATAGGCTTTTTTGAGTTTGGGCAAGGACACAGGGGCCCCATGATCCCCTATTGCCCGGGGGCCCCATGAGTTGTCAGTCCGCCCCTGCTTTAAACTGTGTGCAATGAGTAGCCCAAGGTATTGTAGATTTTTAGGGGTTAAAGCAGGCATATTGCCTGCCACCTGTCAAACACCCTCTGAAAAGAGAACCCCTGTAATTTGCTCTTCAGAGGGTGACACTAATGTTAACAAGCCTTTTCACCTTTTGCGACTGTGCTAGAAATTGGGGTGGACTTACTAATGGCAAACAGACTGTTCACTTGGCAAGTGCAGTTTCACCAGAGCTTAGTAAATGAGATGAAACTTCACTTTACAAAGCATAACCAATCACATGCAAGAAAAAGGAAAAAAAAAAAAAAAAAAAGCGCATTTTGCTTGCACGTGATTGGAAGTCAGTAGAGATTCCCTTCATTTACTAAGCTCTGGAGCAACTGCACTTTTAAAGTGCTCAGTCGGTTTGTCTTTAGTGAATCCACCCCAATGTGTTTTTCTGTCTCCATTGGAGAGATTGCCCTTCACTTCCTGTGCCCCCGACTCCCTTTCACCAGAACAGAAAGTGAGATGGGGACACAGACAGCATACAAACCTGACGGAGGTTCTAACCCCTCGACACTCTATCCTATATAATAAAAAAAGAAAAAGAAACCTACATTAGGGTCTCTGGAGATAATGATGAGGGTCTATATGAGGTTCATTGAGGAGTGCAGAGAAGGAAGCCATTCCTCCATACGAAATAAAGGCTTTCAATACGTAATGCCTATCTCCACCCAAGACCTTTTTTTATTTTTTGGATGGAGTAGGGAACGTGAGAACCTCCCTATTGGGCCCCGTGTCTCTACCTTTGTTTTTGTCTCGGGGAGACATTGCAGTTCAGTCCAGGATTTTTTTTTATTGGTTATACAGTGATTGTAAAACTCAATTACCCTCCAGTGTGCTCTAAACACGAACGCTCGCTGCGGCATACACCGTGCTGTCACGGCACGCAAAAGCAGAAGATGTGCATTGTTTTCCTATTTTATGTCTATTTTTTATTTATTACTTTTTTTTTTCCACTTGTGGGCTTACAATTAGAAATTGATTCAAATGGTTTCTGTCTCCCCTTAGTGGCAGACTGGTGCATTGCAGCAGATTATATAAACCCAACATTTCATACTCCTGATATGTGCCTGCTGTACCATGTACTTGGATGAACCTGCTGTACCATGTACTTGGATGAAAAGTATCCAGTTCTCATTGTATTGCTTCCTTTGTGTGAAATATCTGGTGTTCCTGCCAGTCCCTCTGCTTTCCTATTTAAAACTGACCACACTAGGCCAGAGAGCACAGAGTGGTTAGTTCTCAAGCTGTGGTGGGATCTCAGCCTGTTCTCCGATGATCAGACTTGTCCCCCTGACTTGTCCTGCCACACAGACTTTCACTGGGAAGATCAGTGTGCTGTTGTTTTCCCTCCCTCAGCTCTTATGCAGCAGAGAGTATGTGATCACTTATAAAAAAATATTATAAACACTTTTTTATATCTATACACAAATGTTTAGCGTTTCATTTCTATTTAAAACTGAATGGGTTGTTTTATAGGGTAAGGGTTTACATATACTTTAAGGCTAAGTTTGGATGCCATTTCTCTGAAGAGCGACACAGGTTCAAATTGCTATTCAGACGCATTTGACAGGTGGTGAGGGGGACAATGTTAACTGCATATTTGCCACACATACACAGTTGTGGGGTATTTGCGGCAGATGAATGGATTGTGTTTGGTGGATCTACTGTTCTCTGAATGCAACAGAAACAATAATTTTTGCCACGTAAATGCTCACGTAAAACATATCCATCTGCTGCCTTTGAAGCTTAAAGCAGAGTTCCAGTCAAAATGTGAAAAAATAAACAAAAAAAAAAAAAAAAAAAAAAAAAGATAGGCACTCTCCTGTGCCTCGATCCAGTGGTGTCCTCACCACAGCCGGTTTCACTGGCTATCCTCTCTCCCCGGTGCTGGCTTCTTAAGTATGGGCACCCGGTTGTGACAGAGTGCCTACTATGCATGTGGGAGTAGCGCTGCACCTTGTGAATGGTCCCATAGTCTTCTAGGACCTGTCACGTGTGCGGAGGGACAACCTTCGCTTCTGATCACCTAGGCGATCGCAGCGGAAGCTGGTACCTGTCAAAATTGGGTACCTGATCCCCATAGGTGCAAAACCTTAACGGGGAGCGGGGGATGAGGCCTTAATGCGAAATTTCCCCTTGTGGGTGGAGCTCTGCGTTAGGAGGGTGGCTGGGGGTGCTAGAAACGCAACTCAACTACACATTTTTAACAAGTGAAAAGGTGAGTGTATCCACTTTCCAACCAATATATTATTTTTTACATTTTGCTTATAGAGTGTATAAATGTTGACACCCCTGTTACATTGGGTGTCACACTCCCACTCAACTTCCTGACAGCTCAAACACTTTTGACCTCTGGGGGTGCAATGGAGCCACTTTGAAGGTAGTGGCAATGGTCTTCTGGGACACGCATGGTGCTAATTAAAAGCTTGTAAGGAAGTATTCAGGTACAACTACACTCCAGCAACAACAAAATATATTCTTCAATAGCCACAAAAGAGATACAGTTGTGCTCACAATTTTGCATACTCTGGCAGAAATTGTGAAATTTTGGCATTTGTATTGAAAATATGACTGATCATGCCAAAAAATGCTCTTTTATAAATAGTCAATGAGTTTGTTAGCTCTTGGGATCTTGATACCAAGCCAAGGTCAGTTATGCTGCAATCTTTCTTGATCTACCTGACCTTGGCTTGGTATCAAGAGATCCCCGAACTTTCCACTTCTTAATGGGTGATTTAACAGTACTGATTGGCATATTCAAGGCTTTGGACATCTTTTTATGTCCTTTTCCATCTTTATAAAGTTCCATGACCTTGTTACGCAGGACTTTTGACAGTTCTTTTCCGATCCCCATGGCTCAGTATCTAGCCTAGTCACTGCTTCCACGTAAGACCTAACAAACTCATTGACTATTTATACACTGACACCAATTGTAATTTAAAAAGCCACAGATGTGGAACATTAACCTTTAATTGCCATTTTTAACCTGTGTGTGTCACCTTGTGTGTCTGTACCAAGGCCAAACATTCCAGGGTATGTAAACTTTTGATCATAGCCATTTGGGTGATTTCTGTTATCATTATGATTAAAAAGGAGCCAAAACAACTATTTGATAATAAACGGCGTCATATGATCATCATCCTTCAATAAAAGAGCATTTTTTGGCATGATCAGTCATAATTTCAATATCAATGCCAAAATTTCACAATTTCTGCCAGGGTATGCAAACTTTTGAGCACAACTGTAAATCCACTTTGTGTGCACAAAATGCCTTTGCAAACTCAGATATTACCTTGTAAAAGTGACATCATCACTGTGCTGTGCATAACCTATGCAAAGAGCAGAGTTGTTGGAGGGGCCCAACAGGCTCCACCCAGTGCGGAAAATTACAGGAGGTGGCGGAGCAGACAAGACCAGTCACCCTGCACAAGAAGAAAGAGCAGCAGTGAGTGGTCTTTAATACAGGAAGCATTGCCTGTTTCTGGAAGAGATGTAAAGTACACAGCACACTAATATTTAATACACGACTCATATTAATCAATATTTGCTTCTCCTGGTGTTCGGCTTTAGAAATAATGAGCGCTTCGTTATCACCATACCGCCATGAAAGTGTTACTAAACTGCTAGAGTGGAGCAGCAGTTATTCAGCAGAGGATTTCCATACTCAGGATTGGTCGATCACATCCTTCCTTCATTACTTAGTGAGCTGGAAGGCCTATACAGGTCCCGTCTTCTAATACATCATGAGCTGAT